GGTTTATATAGTCGTTTTTCCCACTAGGCCGAATCGTACCCTAGTTCGGATCCTGTTCGGATATGTGTAGGAACGGGTGCTGAGCCGTTACACAAGGGGGGCAGCGGCTGTATCTTGGCGCTGCGTTTTCTGCTTTTACTAGCTCTAATTGGCTATCTAGATTACTACGTTAGTCACGTGATTTGTTATCTATATTAGGCTTAGTTAAACCGCAACGCTAGCCAGGACTCCTTGTTATCTACCCCTACTATAGCGCTATACCCGAATAGGTATCAAAAACGCAAAACGCAACCGCGCAACCGAACAGGCCCTAAAACACTCGAGAAACATCTCGAAACGTAACCCTTTCTAATACGCTCAACTGCTAAGAACTTAGTCTTCGTCCATGGATGGTTCAAGAAGAGCGCAAGACCAACGAGACAAGAAACCCGAAGGCCAATCTGAGGATACTAAAGAAGCAGGGCAGGCATGGTTGATGTATTTGATGGGGATAGTATTTCAGGTGCAAAATTAGACACCACCGCTCATAATGGGCTGTTTCCAGCCAATGCTGGAGTATTAAGCCATTTTGATTCCATGTAAATTCACTATGCAGAGGTTGGCATCGTTAGATCGAGTCCTTGCTTATATACATATTCCCACATGCCTGCAAGGGTATGCCACATGAAGAATAGCGTACGGGATGCAACCTAGACTGAGTATATGTTGTGATGAAGTATGTCCCAGAGTACTGCCTGTCCTAGTTAGCCTTTTGTGTCACTCAACAACGGTCTCACAAGTAGTAAGTTTCTCGAAGATGATCTGTGGGCGCAAGGTCTTGGAAAAACAGCGCCGTGTTTTGATATTATGCTACAAACTGATATTTTAAGTGCTCAAATAAACGTATTGTACTGTTAAGGTGTTGAAGGTGGTGGGATTGGTGCTATAGAAGACCCCCTATGATGGGATATGCTTCTGTGATAGGCTACGCTCTTGTGGTTGAGGCTGCGCTTCGTGATCGATCATCATGGTGATTGTACGAGATTAAGTACCGAAAACACAAGGCAATTCGTAGCTTTGCTGTCTTGTGCTATGCCTTTTGGCGCATGGATGGCGCATGTGGTCGTATGCTCGACTTGGCTCGCCCGCACACGTGATATCCGTAGCTTAATCATCACGTGACTATGTCTTAGATTCGAAAGTTATAGAAACCTCTTAGGCCTACTGTTTTGCTACTATTACTTAAAGCACATAATATAGGCTCCAAGTGTTGTGAAACGATAGCAAGTAAGATTGATTGTTTGGATCTCTCGGAGATCCAGCCTTTCTCGTACTTAGTATTGGCGCTACGCTAATCGGTAGGCACCGCCGCTTCTATGTATGTAACGGGCTGAACGCCCTTCAGATAGCTTCTCGATGGGATATCCGATTATGTGTACCGTCCTAGGGATACTCAAACAACTAGTTCAGACGCTTTGGCGTAATCCTTGATTAGTAGATAAACACCATGCAAGTAGAGTGGATAGATCTCTATTGATTACAAGCTCTTGAATACTAGACGTTTGCTCCACCGAGTGCAACCTCTTACAAACTTTGTTGAAATTCTGATACAGTAGCTGTTGAGGCTGAGTAAGGCTACTAATCGAATTTTTGCGAACTAATCTACTCGTAGGGGCAGTGCGCAAGTGGAGTCGTTGTTTTGACCAACCGTGACGACTCGCTCCCACACTCCTCTATTTAGGGTTCTGTGCTTGGGCCACACATTCTGGATGCTTCCAGCCTATCTCAGGACTCTCCTTTAGAGTACATACAATATGCGCCAAGCTCTCAGCCGCAGACCAACAATCAAATCCTGGATTGGCAAGATAAGGTCGCTATCCCTGATGGGCCGTTCCCATATCCAAAGGGGGATTAGGAAAAAATAATGCATGCGTCGCCGGAATTGAGATTGATACTCGGGCCTAGAGGCCGAGAATGACACGTCTTTATATGGATGTAATGAATGCAAAATATAAAATATATGTGAAAGTCATACCACCTGCGAAGATACCGAGAGATCGTCGAAAAGCGATATGTATGCCACTGCGCGCGAGATTCATTTGATCCCGTCAAGGCATCGGTCACACGAAGTAGCATAGCGAACCTGGCGTTTACGTGGAAAGCACATTGCTGAAATACAGACGCTGTGGTCTTGATGAGAGTGTCTCCAGCAGCGTATGCAAGTAATAAAACTAGCAACCATTCCTTTCATACTTCTATGGAAGCCTTAAAACATTAAATAGTCAATTATGTAAGGGTACTTCGGGCATGGAATTGGACCACATTGCTCACAATGAGATTTTCCCACAAACCGCCAAGAAATCCAGCCACTGTCATCTTGCTTCTCTATTTTAACAATTGTCAAATGGATGTTGCCTGCAGATTGGAAAACTAATCCAATGTCTCCTCATTGAATGTTACCAAATCCATGAATATACATAGATCCATATGTATCGCTTAGTAGGCCGTGATATTTGTTGGAGTCCGTAAGCTAAATAGGAAGAGAGTCTTGTAATTTGCTGTCGAAGCATATGTAATCTGTGTGTTTGATATGTATCTTGTTAAAGAGCTTGAAGCAAAAGATCTTTACACACTTAGACTGATCGGTGATATGAACTCGTAATTTGAATACTGAATGGATTCCAAGAGTGCTATTGGTTCCAATCTAGCTAACTGGAACTCCTGTGTACACTACAGCCACATAAAACAAACCATACTCCAAAGAAATGTCAGTGGTAATCTAAGCTAAATCTCCCATGCTTTAGTTCTTGGTGTTGATAACAGAGCCACCGCCTGAGCCACCGTTCCTGCCACCGTTACCGCCGTTGCCAGCATCGCCGACATCGCCGCCGCGAGAGTTGCCGCCGAAAGAGATAGCAGGCCCACCGCTGATGAGGCTGAACTTGCGGGCTACAAGGGAGAAGATGGAATCGGAGCGTTTGGCGATTCTGTCTTTGTGTTAGTTGTAATCGGGTTATAGTGAGGGAGATACATACCCTCCGGCACCTCCGTTACCGCCATCACCTTTGCGGGTGTTACCACCGTCCCCACCATTGGCAACGCTACCGCCGCGACCACTGCCTTCAAAGCCAATTCCAGTACCACCGGTGACGATTGTCGA